CCTCGAAGAGCCGGGAGGTGGGAGAACTGCGCAGCCCAGATGAATTGCTTTCGGGGGCCATTTCTTCTGCGGCCCACTGCACTGGCCTAGATAGTCCAGTGAGTTTTCATGGAACTCACATTTTGATAGTTTGACATACAGTTTGGCATCGAGGAGTTTTCTCAACACTTGCTGCACCAGTTTTATATGCTCCTCCATGGTAAAAAGTGAAGATGAGAATGTCATCTAAAACTAGGACCCCTTTATAGATATGCTCATGTAGTACCTCATTTATCAGTTGTACAAACACCACGGGGGCTCCCTGAAGTCCAAAAGACATCACTTTGAAATGAAAACTGCCAAGTGGGCAATTGAATGCAGTTTTCCATTCATCGCCCTCTCTTATTCGGACTCGACAGTACGCCTCTTGCAGATCCAGTTTGGTAAAAATTTTGCCTTTTGCCAAATAGTTTATCAGGTCCTTCATTAGAGGGAGCGGGTAGGTGTTTTGTACACAGACTGCGTTTATCCCACAAAGATCAATGCAAAGTCTCATCCCCCCATCTTTCTTTTCTTTAAACAACACCAGGGCAGCGACTCGTGAATTTGCTGGTTGGATGAACCCTCTGGCTAAATTGGAGTCCATGTATTTTCTCAGTTGATCCATCTCCCTTGGGGACATTGAGTACATCTTTGATTTGGGTAGTTTTGGCCCAGGGATGAATTCAGTGGCACAGTCCCTTACTGATGACCCTCAAGTCATACTCTCCAATCCAACTCCCGCCAAGTCCAGTCACTCCCCACCAAACTCCAGCGACTTGGTCTTGAGCTCTGGCGAAAGAATGTTGTTGTGGCTATCCTCCCTTCTCACTTTACTTTCATTCCCACGGTCACCCATCCTCCCTTGTGGCAGCCCCAAATCTGATTCAAGATGGATGGGAGTCTGACACTGAGTCTCTTAGGCCATCCACGTCTCCCCAGACTCCTGACTTTGGCACCACAATTCTCATGGGGATGGCGAAGGGACAGATGGCTTCACTTACCATCGGGTTGCTTTCACCCTCATCCTCGCTGTTGTAGGGGTTAGGTTGCTGGTCCCCTTTGGTTGGAGGTCCCTCTCCCTCGTTTGATGGAGGAGAGACCGCAAGGGCCTGGCGTGCCAAACTTCTGCTTTCCCTTCCACTGCAGCTTTTTTGGCTTTATCAAGGCAGGTGGCTTGCTCCTTGGCTGGGGCTGGGTACTAGGCATTTGGCTGCTCGATGACCCTGCTGGCCTCATTGGAAGCATTTGGTGGGACCCCTAGTTGAGGTGGTGGGAGAGCTAGTGGACATAGTTGTGGCAGGCCACAGTCTGGACTGGCGCTGTCAGGATTTTGGCAGTTACCCCCATTAAATTATGAGTGTCAAGCCAAACTTCTAAAACTTCAAAAGGATTTATTGGGAGTTAACATGTCCAGCACTGCCTGGGTGTAGCTGACTCTGAGACACATAATTCATTGTCACCCTTGACCCTGGTTTTCCCCCACCCCCTGGGTGTATCATAATTCATATTCTCCAATGAGACACATCCATAGCCAAGAGTCATCACTCATGTTTCTCCCATGGCAGAAACTTCAGCCACCTAGTTACTATCTTTGAAAAACTATGGAATGCACTTTCGCTTTCCAAGCTGCTGCACTTTCAAACCCCTTTCCTCCCTCCCTTTCTGTTGGCAACTCTAAAAAGACCATAGAAATATGAGTTGACAGCCGCCTCTTCTTGCTCCACTTCAGTTTTGGCTTTGGAGTGCCGTTCTTCCTACACTGGTTTAGCACTAGCACTATGGCTGCCCAGTACCATTCATGGATTCATTCGGGGATTCCCTGGTAGATGCAGGCCTGGAGCAGTTCTCGGTCCAGGCCCTCCTTGAAGTGGTAGACCAGTAGCTGCTCTGGCCACTGCCTCAGCTTGCCAGTGACCCTGCAGAACTCCTGGACATATTCTTTCGCTGGCCGGCCCTTCTGCTTCAAGTCTCAGATCTCTGCCTCAGTTTGCAGGACTCACCCTCGAATCTGCCCACTGACCAATGCTTGGCCAGCCGGCTGCACTCCATCAGCTAGGGCTGTTCTAGGTTTGGCAGCAGCCTCCCCTTTCTTCTCCACCTCGGAATATTCCCTGAGTCTTCTCTGTCCTCCCGACCTGACCAGGTAGGCATCTGGGGCTCAAGACCCTGGAGGGTTGCCCTTTTTTCAGAGCAAAATTTTAAGATAGTTGGTTAAATGTCATGGCTCTAACTAACGAACCCAAGCAAATCAGAACTCTGAGACTAGAATCTTCCTCAAAGAACTTCTTTATTGGGTACATCATATCAGCACGATCAATTGTAAAACCAATTCTAAGTATTCCTTGCGGTTTCAGCATAATTAAAATAGTAAATGGTCCCCTCCCCAGGTGTCACCAGTCACATTGTCCAATTAGGTTAATTGGCAGGTTTCTTAGGTACTCCCCTTCTTCCTTCCCCCCCCCCCCCCCCCCCCCCGTGTGGCAACTGGGAACCAAGAAAATGGCTTGGCTCGGTTTGAAGTTGACACTGAATCTGACATTAATTTATTTCCTATATTATCTAGGAACTTATAGTAGTAGGTTAATCAAGCTCAGCAAACTGTTCGCAGTTACCACTTGGTAACATGAATCATAAACCTGTTGGCATATGTTCATTATAAAGTGGCTTTTGCTATTTTGTTTATTCAAGGCAAGAGACAAAAAGGTCTGCAAATTGCAATTGTGATTCATGTTGTTTGAATATTGTAGGAGGAAAGTTGCCTTACAGTGGCTTGTGTACATTCAGATTGAGCTGATGAGTCACCAGTTCATTGTTTTGCTTTTAGTGATCATGCTGCATATGTAAAATTTAGAAACTTGAAATATTTATCTCATTTGTAAAGCTGCCTGACTCAGTGATGACTCTGGGAAGAGTACAATATTAAAAACAAATTAACAACAATAGAATAAAAATAGTAAATATCCTGAGAAAATAAAACCAACCCCTTCTCAACCATACCGCATATCCCTAAGGGACTTGACACTCAATATAATGCAAGGCCTTGGGGCAGAGCCTGGCTTTAATGGCTAGTGATAGCAATAGGAATAGACTTATATACCTGTCTATAGTGCTTTACAGTACGCTCTGAGCAGATTACAGTGTTAGCATCTTGCCCCCAACCATCTGGGTCCTCATTTTACCAACCTCGGAAAGATGGAAGACTAAGTTAACCTCAAGCCCTGTCAGGATCAAACTCCAGAATGTGGGCAGTATTAGCCTGCAATACTGCATTCTAACCACTGCACAGGTATAGGACAACTCAGCATGCCCAGCTCACTGCTGCCAAGCCGCTGCAGGACAACTCGCGGTGGGTGGCTGGAGGGAAAGTGGGTCAGGCAATAGAGTGGGTGGGCAGAGCAGTGGCAGCAACCTGGAGCTTTCCATTTTCACACCCACTACAGCCAAGCTCTGAGCCGAAGAGGCCAGGGACAGCAGTGGTGGTGGTGGGCGGGGAGGGAAGCAGGGAGGTGGCAGTGGCCAGGGCCATCCCATTTTCACACACACACCACCGGCCCCGCTGTCCCCAGCCTTTTCGGTCCAGAGCTCACTGCAGCAGTGAGGGTTGTGAAAATGGGGCTACCCTGCCCTGCCTACCTCTTCGGCTTGGGGCATGGCAGCAGTGGTGGCAGTGGTGTGAAAATGGGAAGCCCCCATCACCCACCCTGTCCATCGTTGCTGCCGCTTTCCATGCCACCACCGCCATCCCCATCCTCTTCATCCTGAAGCCACTCAGCAGCGAGGGGTGTGAAAATGGGAAACCGCTGCCCTGCACTCTGCCCACCCACTTCCCCACCCAGCTCTCCCTCCAGCCATCTGTGGTGAGTTGTCCCTGCAGCGAGTTGGCAGCGCTGAGTTGGTAGAGGCAACTCAGCAATGGCGATCTGTCTGCCAAAGTGTCCCATTTCGCCACTGAGCCACCAGGGTTCTTCCATTGTGCAACCAGGGCTCTGGGCTCATTTGAATGAGACCAGGTGTCAACTTGTCGGAACCCTGACACCAGGGTAAGAGGAACATGAATTTTCAGGATGATGCTGTGCCAGAAGGTAGGTGCTACAACACAGAAGGTGCCCTTCCTGGTTTCCATCAGATGACATTGTTTAATCAATGGGACCTGAAGCATGCCAACTTTTTCAGCTCAAACAGAACTGCAGACACTATAGGGTTATTCTTTAGATAGGTAGGCCCTATACACCTGAATAACATCTGGAAGCCCACTGGTGTCCAGTGCAGCCCACAGAACTGAGGTGTTATATGGGCACCCTATGGCATGTCCAAAATTGAGTAGTCTTCAAGAGCAAATTCATGTTGAGCACATTTTGTACATCCACATGAAATATCCAAACATGAATAATTGTCTGGAGGACTTTTCAGTCCAAAATGTACACAAGATGGATCTGTGTGACAGCTTTCCTTGGGAGGAAACCCTCCCAAATTGCTTGCCAGTCCAGAATATTGAAGCACAATCCCATTCAAGGCTCACAATGGAAACTTTCTAGCTTTGCCTGATCCAAATACCCAGGGTTTTTTTCTTTGTTTACTTTTTTAGACAAGGTTTCTGGTTATCACAGATACTTGGAAGTCCAAACATTAACAGATAAAGAGTCTGTGCTCTTCTGTGTATGATGTCCTGTCTGTCTGCTACCATTTTTGCTTCTTTGCTTGCACAGCAGCTAAGAATTTCCCATCTTCTGTATCTTTTAAGCTTATTCTAGGTTGGGTAGCTGACTGTATTTCCAGAATTTGGGAGTGTGATGTAGATGTATGCTGAAGTGACAAACGTGGGGAAGTTGAAGGATTGTGTTGATGGATTGGAAAGTGAATTACTTTGTTGTAACTTTAATGTTGCCCACCTCCCATTTTCCAACAACTTATCTTTCTGAGAATAGTTTACTTCTGTTTGGAGCTATACTTGCTTAAATTGTCCAATGCTTGCCTTACAGGGATTCTATAAAGGCGGGAAGTTTGTGTTCAGTTTTAAGGTAAGGAATCTGACTCTTCTCTAAGACATCTAATGGGACAATACTATATATCTGACTTTTCTTGGTGCACACAGTAACTTGATATGAATACCATGTTTCCCCCAAAATAAGACCGGGCTTATTTTCTTTTGGGTCCCAAAATATGACCAGGCTGTCAGGATTCCAGCAGTGGTCCTGATTAAATCATGACCTTCGAGCCAAGCTTCAAAAATAGAAATGTTTTATGAGTTGACACAGGTCTTATTTTCGGGGGAAGTCTTACCTGCTTACCTTCGGACCACCACAGCCAGGCCTCCCATGCCTTAACACCTGTCACACCGCTGCCTGACTACTACTGCCACCGCTTGCAACAGGACACCATGTGATTCATTGCACCACTGCTGCCACTTGTGGCAGGAAGCCACGTGTTGCATTGTGCCATTGCGCATGCGAGCGGCAGCACTGGTGCAACACGCCATATGGCTTCCTGGCACAAGCTGCAGCACTGGCACAACGTAGCACGTAGCGTTCTGCAAGCGGCAGCACTGCTGTGACAGCACTGCTGAACCATGTGGCCTGCCACGAGTGGTGGCAGTGGTGCGATGTGCCATGTGGTATCCAGCCACGAGCAGCTGCAGAAGTTGGGCAGCGGTGCAACAGGTGTCGAGGCATGGGAGGCCTGGCTGCAGCGGTCCTAAGGTAAGCAGGGTGCATGGGATAGCTCCATCACCCCACCCCACCCCAGCTTGATTTTTATGCATGCGCCTCACCCCACCTTGTACAACCAGATGGTGGGGCAGAGTAGGAGAGGTCTTAACTAGGGCTCATTTTTGGAGTAGGCCTTATATTAGGTGCACGTGTAAAAAATCAAGCTAGGGCTTATTTTCAGGATAGACCTTATTTTCAGGGAAACGTTGAAAAAAGTAATACTAAGGAATAGTACTGAACTATTCTGGAAGAAAGCAACTTGTAATGGTTACTGTCTGAGGCTCATTGGATCAGCTTCTATGTATGGATTTTCAGAAATTTGAAGTGAATTGTGTTTTAAAATTAATTGTAAGTTAACTACAAATGGACATTCCATGTTTGGAATATCTATTATACAACTACATGTAGCACTTAAGGCGCATTATTTGATAGTGGTTTGCTACAATTAAAATATCATTGCATTTCAAGTGACGTGTCCCCGAAATGGCCTGAGGTGCAGATGCATCTCGTTGACAGCCATCTTTTCTACACAAATTATGAGATTAGAAATCAGATTGTAGTATTATAATTTTTTTCTTAAAAAAATAACTGAATAAATTACTTCCTTGACATGGCTAAAATATAGGCTGGCTTGCTTGCTAGCTATTCCATAGCCTAATGATTTGGTTGCATACAGGTTAGTCTGTCCTCAGTATATACAGTACTTCACAGATATGTATTGACATCCCAATAGCCTCGTATTTAATTGAAAGAAAATCCAGTAGTAATAAATGTTAATACATCTCTGAATATGCAGGTTGCTTAAAGCACAGGACAGCCCAAAATTGCTTGGAACTTTTGCCAATCTTTCTTATAAAGATGCTTTGGGTAAAATATGAATACACTGTGTAGGGGAAAAAGTGATTCTCTGAAAACCTCAAGACAATTGGGTTAAAATAATGCTAATGCAGGAAAAATTGAGTGTTGAAATGAATTAGAATATAACAGACCAACAGACCAAAATGGAGTGTGTAGGTTTTTAGAAAATCTGTCTCTTTAACTGGAAATTAAGAAAGCAGAAAAACCTCACAGTGTGGCAGTGTCTGCCATTTCTGCCTTTGGCAGTTCTTTGTTAAAAATCTGCTCAGTGAATCAGAACTATCAGAAGAAATTAGGATTATTATTTTTTTGGCTGTTTATCAGAAGAGAAAGGAAAAGGTTTAATATTCAAGTTTCTGCTGAGAATTTCATGCAGAAGTGTTTCCTTCCCAAGAAGAGACAAAAATGAAGTATTAAAATAGTTTTAAATAAAGTGATTAGAGGGAAGGATTCTTATGGGAAGGACAGGGCTGGGATTGAAAAATCCCAGCAACCGGTTCGCTGCCCGGTTGCTGATGGGTGTGGCCATGGTGGGTGTGGCCTACTGGAACTTCCGGGAGGGCCGTTTTTTGCTTTCCCAAGGGTCCAGAGGCTTCCCCCAGGCCTCTGTGAGGGTGAAAATGGCCTCCCCCGGGCTCTGGAGGCCCACCAGAAGCCAGAAACAGGCCTGTTTCCGGACTTCTGGAAAGCCCGTTTTTCCCCCTCCCAGAGCCTCTGCATAGACCCTGCACTTACCTGCATTGCGTGGAGACTTCTGGAAGGGGAGGGGCGGGGTGGGCAGGGCCAGCCAGTCGGTTGAAATACTGGTTCAGCAGACCAGATGAAAACTTAACATCCAGTTCGTCTGAACCGGTCGAATCCCACCCCTGGTGAAGGATCTTGGAAAGTTTTCAGAACTACCCAGTACTTTCAATTCATTGAAAGTATTTAAGATTCTTGCCTTTAGCACTAAGGCATGATGCAAAAAAGCTACTGTCTTTGAAACATTTGCATTTTTATTGCATCCTTCTGAATTTTCAGAGTAGTATGCATGGTTCATTATTTTACTCTATGGTTGTTATTTGGATCCTTGTCAGTGTTTGTACTCATAAGGATTTGGAGCTCATAATCTGGGCAACTCAGTTGTAGCATCTGTTTTCATATCTACAATCAAGTTCTTAAAGCAATGTAGTTGAAACAGCCATGCAAACAAATACTTCACATTTTGAAATCTTCGTAAAATTGAGTAGTGGACATTGATTATCTGGACACCTTACATTGTACACATTAATAGAGAAACCAGAACTCCTCTCCTGTTTCCCCATTCTAGTTTGGGGCATTGTATACTTCAAAATATAATTTATCTTTTGTACCGTTGAGATGAACATGAATTGGGCAAACTCCTGGAGGCAGTGGAGAACGGGGGGGTGGGGGGTGTGATATAGTCCATGGGGTCAAGAAGAGTCAGACATGACTTGGAGACTGAACAACAATAACAACCATTGAGATATGTCAAATCCCAAAATCTACTGGTAGGAAATTAGTGAAGCCATCTAAGGAAAGCCTTAGATGGCTATGTGGATGGCCCCATATTTTGGGAAGGAATATTGAATGGACCATTATGAACATGGAAAAACTGACAGTGTGTCTCTGTTTTGTGGTTTTTTTGCAGGTGGGGCAAGGTTACCCACATGACCCACCCAAAGTCAAATGTGAGACTATGGTATATCACCCAAACATAGATTTAGAAGGCAATGTTTGCCTAAATATCCTCAGGTACAAAGCATGTTATGTTGTTCTAATACAGGTAGTCCTTGAGTTACGACCACAGTTGAGCCCAAAATTTATGTTGCTAAGTGAAACATTTTTAATGTGAATTTGCCCCATTTTACAACTTTTCTTGCCACAGTTGTTAAGTGAATAATTGCATTTGTTAGTAACTTGGTTGTTAAGTGAATCTGGATTCCCCACTGACTTTGCTTGTCAGAAGATTGCAAGAGGGGATCATGTGACCCCAGGACACTGCAACCATCATAAATATGAACCACTTGCCAAGCATCTGAATTTTGATTATTTGATTAGGGGGATGCTGCAACAGTTGTGTGAAAACCAGTCATAAATCACTTTTTTCAATGCCGTTGTAACTTTGAATGGTCACTAAATGAACTGTTTTAAGTCAAGGACTACCTGTACATTCTCTTTTCATTCCTATTATTTTCTTCCTTGCAGGTTTAGAGGAAGTTTTAAGAACAAATATTGTTCTTAAAGTATCAAACAACTTATAAAATATTTTGGTTTTGAAGTGAGTGAAATGCTTGTAAAAACATGTACTCACTGACTGCTCAACTACATTTACTGAATAAAGCATGATCACAGATCATAGAAAATAAGGAGCAGGCAAACCTTTGCCTATGAACTCTTTCTCTGTGACCCCCAGAGTCTCCTTTGACCATTGCTGAAAATTGGTGGCACAGTTTCTTACCATCTTAAGACAAAGACATAAAACTTTACTGCAAGTCCTACATTTTACCACAATTTAATTAACTAACATTCTTTCCAAACCAAAGAAAAAATTAGCACCACCCACTTTGCATCACTGCCCATCCATTGTGGCCCTTGGTTTGCACACAAAATGTTAAGTGTGACTGCCAGGTTTCAAAAATTGTTGACTTCTGTGCCAAGCCATGAATATGTTGGTTGTATTCATGTAACACAGACAAAACCAAACAGTCCATTATAGTTTTGTGTTTATGAATCTAGCTACACTAAGGAGTGGAAGAGAGCCTGCAGCAATCATGCCAAACCTGGTGCCCTCAGGATCTATTGAACTGGAACTGCCCTCAGCCATAGACAGTATGGATTAGGGAAGGCAGTCTTCCATTCTAGTGGGTGTATTTCTGAACACTGTTGACTTTTAAGTATTTGGAATGTTGAACATATTTCTGTTTTGTTTTGGGTTTTTAAAAAATCCTGTTATGCCTTCATAAATTAAAAGGGCAATAAGGAAAAAAATCCTGAAAGAGGCTTGTCAATAATTTTAGTTTTGGGGTATTGCCAGTGGGACCATAAGAATGTAATTAAAATGTGTCTTATATTTCAAAGGTCTGATTCTAAGAACTGTTGACTTCATTTTTTAAGGATTTGGGATATTAAACATATTTCAGTTTGGATCAATCTTCATAAAGCTTTTTTTAACAATATGAATCTACATCAAGATTACTTTGTTATTTTTAGTTGAGTAAACTTTCCTGACCCTGTGCTCATTTTTTTTCCATTATTTTTCTGGCCCACAGAGAGGACTGGAAGCCTGTACTAACAATAAACTCTATAATTTATGGCCTGCAGTATCTCTTCCTGGTAAGTATATGTGGAAAGAAGGTGTGAAGCCATGGCATTAAGGCTGGAGCACTATCTTCTTTCTCAGTCTGAGCAGGAAGAATGAATGTAAGATTGGGGGAGAAATGATACAGAAGGCAAAGCACAGCGGGCTCCTGAGGAATCTAGTATACTGGGTTAGAGGGATAGTGAATGAAATAAAAGTAAGTTTGTGTCATTACATTTTGGGAAGATACGTCTGATGTGCTGTCTACCAGTTGGAATGGGAATTTGCCTGTACACAAGACTGTACTTGATAATATCTGCAAAAACTGTTAGAAAACTTTATAGGGTGTGGCTAATGTGAGAATGTTTGCATTTAAGTAAAGTGATTTATATAAGTTTTAGCTTTCAAATACTACTGTTTCCTAAAGAAACTTTGACTACTCACAATTAATAGTAATAGCACGTAGACTTATATACCGCTCCATAATGTTTTACAGCACTCTGAGCAGTTGTCATGCCCTTGTTGGAGTCTGATTCTGAGGGGGAGATTGAGCAGCTGACAGGGAGTGGGAGTGTGGCTCTGGTGGCTGTGGAAGAAACGGGGGAAAGGCACAGTCCAGCTGGGCATTCAGAGGAAGAGGAAGCATTCAAAGTCTGGGGAACAAACAGGGTGGATTCGAACTACAAATACATGAAGGTAGATATGACATAGCTGGAATAACAGAAACTTGGTGGGATGAAACCCATGGTTGGAACATACTGGTAGAAGGATACAAACTGTTCAAAAAAACCAGACCCCATAAAAGAGGAGGTGGAGTTGCACTGTATGTAAAGGACCACTATATTGCTACAGAAATGCATGAAACCAAAGATGAAAACCACCTAGAATGCATATGGGTCAATATAAAAGAAAAAAAGAATGACGTGGCCATAGGTGTGTATTATAGGCCACCCAATCAAGCAGAAAAAAGAGATGTCCTTTTTGCCAACCAACTAACAAAACATATGCAGGAAACACACAACAATAGTAATGGGGGACTTCAATTATCTTGATATCAATTGGAAAACTAATTCTGTACCAAGTGAGAAATAAAATAAGTTCCTAACCAACCTAGCTGACAACTTTGTTGTCCAAAAGGTAGAGGGTGAAACTAGAGGGACGGCCATACTGGACTTAATTCTTACAAAAAGAGAAGAAGTGATAGAGGGAGTTGAAACTGCAGGAACCTTGGGTGAGAGTGACCATGTCATACTAGAATTCAACATAACACAAAGACAAGCAACAGAACATAATGACACCAGAGTCTTGGATTTTAAAAGAGCTGTTTTTAATAAACTCAGAAAGAACTTGGGAAAGATTCCATGGATGAAAATCCTAAAGGGGAAAACAACTCAAGAATCTTGGGAAACTCTGAAAAGTACGATCATAGAAGTGCAGACCAGCACAATTCCACTGAGAAAGAAAAACAAGAAATCCAAGAAGAAACCAGCACAGCTTCGTGCCTTCCGAAAAGCAGGACAGCTGATTGAAGCCTGTTTAAAGGGTCTTGGAGAAAAATTCCTTGTGGAAAGCCTAAAACAGTTGCTGGACTCTATTAAAGCTCATATAAAGAAGCCCACAAGGTATTAGAGGCTAGCTCACTGGCTTAGTCCAAACAGCAGCCTATACAGCCCCAAAGTTACTGCCAGCTTCGGCTACAGTGGCAGAACAGATTTAACAGATTTTAACAGATAATCGGAGTTGGAAGGGACTTATAGGTCATCTAGTCCAACCCCCCGCCCAAGTGGGAGACCCTACACCATATCTGACAAATGGCAGTTCAATCTCTTCTTGAAAGTCTCAAGGATGGTGCTCCCACAACTTCCGAGAGCAAGCTGTTCCATTGGTTGATTGTTCTCACTGTCAGAAAGTTTCTCCTTATGTCCAGGTTAAATCTCTCCTTGTTCAGTTTCCATCCATTATTCCTTGCCTGGCCTACAGGTGCTTTAGAAAATAGCTTGACCCCTACCTTTCTGTGGCAGCCCCTCAAATATTGGAAGACTGCTATCGTGTCTCCCCTGGTCCTTCTCTTTACTAGACTAGCCAAGCCCAGTTCCTGCAACCATTCGTTGTATGTTTTAGCCTCCAGTCCCCTAATCATCCTGGTTGCTCTTCTCTGGACTTTTTCTAGAGTCTCAACATCTTTTTTGTAATGTGAACAGAACTGGATGCAGTACTCTAGGTATGGTCTTACTAAGGCTTTATAGAGTGGTATTAGTACTTCCCTTGATCTTGATTGTATCCCTCTGTTAATGCAATTTAGGATTGCATTACCTTTTTTGGCTGCTGCTGCACACTGCTGGCTCATATTTAGCTGGTTGTCCACTAAGACTCCAATAACCCTCTCACAGTTACAGCTATTGAGCCTGGTTTCACCCAGTGTATATGTACTTTTGGTTTTTCTTGCCTAAGTGTAGGACTTTACTTTTCTCTACATTGAATGTCATTTTGTTAGATACGGCCCAGTGTTCTAGTCTGTCAAGATCCATCTGGATCTTTAGCTTATCTTCTTGGGTGTTAGCTATTCCTGCCAGCTTAGTATCCTCTGTAAATTTGGTAAGTTCCCCTTCTATTCCCTCATCTAGAAAGAAAGAGAGGAAAAAAACCCGTGGTAGCAGGCAGCCTTTGTGTCTGAGTCTGTCTTAATCAGAGGGGCAAAAGATAACATGGCTGACCATGTGAATGGAACTAGGACAAGGAAGAAGGTTCAGGGGATCCCTGACCTCTCCCCAGATCAGGATAAGGGCTCCAAGGGATGCATATCTCTTGCTAGAGAAGCTGCAGAAAAGATAAAAGACAAAAGCTATCTCCGCCAGGAGGATAACCAAGACAGAGGAGGAGGATGTCCTGAGGCGCCGTAAGGCTATCAGCAAGATAATTGCCAGGGCGGAAAAGGAGGCTGAACAAAGAAAGGGGGAGGGCTCCCCTGGAGAAAGGGAGCTTGAAATTTCCTGTTTGGCCTGCTAAGCAGGTAAATCAGCCAATAGAAATGGAGCAGCAGATTCCTTGTTGTCAAGAGGGGCCACTGGGTGGCATCAGAGAGCAGTTTCTCCAGCCTTCTCTTTGTTCAGAACATGATGATAATATTGCTGTGGCACAGGAGATTTCTTTGCAATCAGGTAGCCAGTGGGAACTGATGGCAAAGAGAATGAAAGTGTTGCCAGAAGCAACATTTATTCCCACAGTAGCAGGGTTACGCACAAGAGAGAATCAAGATCTGGAACTTATGGATCAGATGAAGTTTCTGATCTCAACCTTATCACAGGCCATCAATACTGGTCAGCTGCAGTGGCACCAGATAGCCACACTGTCACAGGCAATACCTGTGTCAGGTTTCCAAGTGATGAAATCCATTTTAAAAAGAAAAGCACAAAGTCCATCTTCCAAGACAATTTCTTTTATTTAGGAAAGCATCAAGTTGGCAAAGTCCATGGTAATTCCGGATCTGACACAACCTGGAGTTACCCCACATATTAGAAGTTAGAAGCAACCCCCAAAAAGTCACATTCTCTAATAGAAGTAATTCAACGTTGCTTGATGTCATAAACCTCCACCTCCAGTTGCCTAGGCACGGGCAGCTCGGGTTCTCATGGGAAGAATGATCACCTAGCCTAAACAACTCTCTCTCCACTCCTCCCCCCTTAGGAATGTGGCAAGCCCGAAACTCTTCCCCCATGACTGCCAAAGAGAAAGTAAGAAAAAGAGTATATATTAAGCCTAACTAAAATGGCTACACATATGTCAATACCGGGCTCGGCAACCTGGTAGTCAGAACCAGTTCAGGGCACCACAACAACAAGGGGAGCTGGAAGGCCCCCAAAGGCACAGTCAAATTTCTTCTCCACACAAAGTGAGGCTTCTGTCTTAGGAGATAAGGATCAAAGAGATTCAGATCTTTGACAAGATGAGAGGAGGAACCCTGAAGCCCCAGCTTTTGCTGGCCTTTTTCAACCAGCCCTTTTCAGTTCCTTGCTGTTTAATGCCAAAGCAGCAACAAATCTGGGAGCTGAACTGGCCACAATGGAATCAAATACAAAACTGTCGGACCCAGGGCAATTTCTATTCCCAAAGCCTACTAAGGAGACCAAGGAGATCCCCTCAAATGATTTATTTTGAAATGTAATTCGAGGTCAGTGGCAAAAACTAGTGGTGTTCACTGGTTTGAGAAGAGATTTTTTAATATGGCTCGCTCCTTGCTGAGGAGCTCCAGTCTCCAATGATAGATGAGCCGGTGGCTGCTTTAACTTCCTCATCTATATTAGCTTATGATGGGGAGGATTCCTTGAAAGCAGAAGATAGGAAGGCAGAAATGACACTCCGTAAGACACATGAGGCTTCAGCCTGGGCAATAAAATATTCCATGGCTGCATCTTTCTTCAACAGGGACACACTTGTTTGGCTATGCCAAATGCAAGAGAAGGTTCCCCCAGGAGACATCCGCACCCAGCAAGATTTCAACAAAGTGATTGCTGCTGTGGAATTCTCAGCAGATGCCACCACGTATGCCACAAGGTTCGCCTTTAAGGCTATGGCCACCCATGTAGGGGCCCGTTGAATACTGTGGCTTTGTCGTTGGCAGGGGAACATGGAGTCCAAGTGGGAGCTAGCTTCTGCCCCTTACAACGGTGGCAAATTATTTGGAGAGGCCATAGAGTCTGATAGTAGAGAATAGGGACAAGAAGAAGGTTCTACCTTCGGGGTTCAGAAAATCAAACCACCACCAATCTCCATATTTTTGCAGGGCTTCCTTTTGGCTCACAGATGCCGGATTCGGCGTCCAGCAGTCCCACAGGGCATACACACACAGGAACAGACAACTGGACAGACCTGGCTTTGAGGATAGATATGGCCAACAGGACCAAAACAAGAGACCATTCAGAGTCACAAGCAGTTGCCCCTTCCATCGCGCCAAATGGCGGAAAGATAAACCCTCCCATTGGCAGCTAAGTCTGTTTGCCGGTCAATGGGAAACAACAACAGACACCTGGGTCCTAAACAGGGTGAGACTAGGTCTCTCCCTCAAATTTCTCTCCACGCCCCCGAACTTTTTCATAAGTTGTCAGATTTCAAGGGACAAGGCAAAGAGAAGCCTCCTGGAGGCAACAGTGCAACACCTACTGGACATCAAAGCCATCCAACTGGTCCCGCAAGACAAGCAAAGACAGGGGTTCTACTCCATCCTGTTTGTAGTTCCAAAGACTTCGGGGGGATGGAGGGCAATTCTGGACCTAAAAAGACTGAACAACTATTTTATATACAAGAAATTCAAAATGCAATCCCTTCAGTCGATACTGGGGAGCATTTGGGAAGGTGACTTCCTGACCTCCATAGACCTTATGGAGGCTTACCTACACATTCCTATTCTAATGGCTCATCGAAAATTTCTGTGTTTTCAGTACGCTGGCCAGCATTTCTAATACAAGGCCCTGCCCTTCGGCCTATCATCAGCGCCCAGAACTTTCACCAAGGTGCCTGCAGCAGTGGCGGCACACCTCAGCGATTCTGGTGCGCGTCCAATGTTATCTGGACGACATCCTGATACAGTCCTCTTCACCAGACAGAGCAGCATCAGGACCCTGCAGGAACACGGGTTCTCGGTGAATTTCAACAAGACTCATCTGTTCCCAACAAATTGACTACACCTGGGAGCAATCATAGATACCAGGTCATGCGAGGTCTACTTGTCACAAGAACGACAGGCCAGTATCAAAGTACTGGCGGCCCAAATTCAGTCAGCCCAGTCAGTGATGCTGGACCTACTATCACAACTCCTGGGGAAGATGGTGTCCTGCATAACAGTTGTACCGTGGGCACAGCTTCACGCAAGACCGCTACAGTGGTTTCTTTTGCCATACCAGAGGTCAGGCAGGAGCAACTCGAAACTCAAGGTGCAGGTTCCACCAAAGGTACTACAAACTCTCCACTGGTGGAGAACATGAGCCATAAGCAGGGGCTATGCATTCAAGGAACCAAGGCACCTATCCATCACCACAGATGCCAGTCTGTTCCTGGGGCACCCAATTCCAGTCCCACATAGCACAAGGACAGTGGTCAGAATCAGACCTCAGAAACAACATCAACTGGATAGAACTCAAGGCAGCCCATCTAGCCCTAAAGAGATTCCAGGACAGATTTTTGGGACACCACATACTCATCCTAATGGACAATGTGACCACAAAGGCACACATCAACCGTCAGAGTACTCATGCAGGAGACGAGACAATTAGGACTCTGGGCAGAGAGACACCTGCTCTCCATCAGAGCAGAACACATCTCGGGGAAGACGAATGTACAGGTGGACTGGCTAAGCAGGACCACGGTCAACCACTCAGAGTGGTGACTACATCCAGACCTGTTCAGGGAGCTGTCAGGGAGGTTCGGAAGTCCGATCCTGGACCTCTTTGCTTCTCCATCAAATGCCCAGTTACCAAGATACTATTTTAGATTCCCAACAGCAGGGGCAGAGGGAGTCCATACCCTCCGCATTCCATGGCCCTGGGGGCTGCTATACGCCTTTCCCCCACTTCCACTAATCCTAACAGTTATAGAGAAACTGATAGAGGAGAGGGCGGAGATACTTTTCCTGGCACCACACTGGCCAGGACACCTGTGGTATGTGGATCTGGTCAGCCTCTCAATAACCAGACCATGGAGGATCCCTCGAGAAAGAATAGCTCTGAGTCAGGGAGCCTGCCTTCATCCAGATCCGCAATGGTTTCAGCTAACAGTTTGGCACTTGAACGGTCAGCTCTAAGACAGCATAAGTGCTCCAGTAAAGTCATACAAACGCTACAAGCCTCTAGAAGGCCTTCAACTAGCAGAATCTACGATGCCACTTAGGCATCCTTCTGCAGCTGGTGCTCCAGAGAACATATTGATCCAACCGACATGTCAGTGACCCAAATCCTGGAGTTTCTACAGGGGGGACTGGACATGGGCCTGTCCCCCAACACCTTATGCAGGCAAGTGGTGGCTCTGGAATCCATGTTAGGCTGTGGGAAGTTAGAATCCCTTGCCTTACATCTTCTGGTGCACAGCTTTATTAGAGGTGCAACCAACCTAAAGCCCCCAGTGATACACAGATATTCCACTTGGGATCTACCTAAAGTATTGAGGGCGCTCACGACAGAACCATTCAAACCGTTACGATCAACCAGCCTACGATTCCTTACCTGAAAGGTAGCATTCCTTGTAGCCAAAAGAATATCGGAGTTAGCAGCCCTCTCCATGAGGGAGGACCTTTGAATAATTCACTCAGATAGGGTGATTCTAAGGCTGGACCCCACCTTCCTTCTGAAGGTAAATTCATCATTTCACAGGGCGCAGGAAATTATCCTACCAGATTTTTCCCAAAGCCAAATCACAACCTAGAGAAAAAATGGCATTCCCTAGATGTCAGGAGAGCATTTACCTGAAGAGGACAGCCTCTATCAGGAAAACGGAATCACTGTTCATGTCATTCCAACAGAACACGTTGGGTAACAAAATCACACCTTCAACCATAGGCTGGTGGATACGATCTTGTATAGCCAAGGCTTACGAGACTCCAGCTCTACCATTACCCAAATGGGTAACAGCTCATTCAACCAGAAGCATGGCCATGATGGCCGTGTGGAATACACAGGCCTCTATTGAGGACATTTGTAGGGCAGCAATGTGGTCTTCTCCATCCCCATTCGTAAGACACTATAAGTTGGGCATATTCGCCTCGGCTGATGTGGCCTTCGGCAGAAGGGTTCTACAAAAAGTGCATTCAGAATTGGGGACTCAAGACCAGACCACTTCCCACCCTTAGGACAGCCGGCTTTGGTATGTCCCACACAATTGGATTATCCTTCCAGCACACTGGAGAGTGCTGGTCTTACCTGACACGCTTCTTCTCAGTGGGCTGAAGAATAATCCAGTCCCACCCTGGCAACTGTCTAGTCTAGAGTCCAGGGGAAGTCATCACCAGCACCAATACTATTCAAGTTAATCAACACGTCTTCATCAAAACTGGGTATGCTCAGGAGGAGGAGGCGTGACCAGGAATCTGATTGACTCAGCCTCCAAGTTGAAGAGGAGTCTACACCCACACAATTGGATTATCCTTCAGCCCACTGAGAAGAAGCATGTCAGGTAAGTCCAACACTCTTTTTAATCTATTGACAAAAAGAAAGATTATCTTCCAAAAAGCAATTCCATTTCATCACAAAGGTAACTTCCATATTTTGGGGGTCTGGTTCATCTTACAGTTTTGAGTTGATTGGTATAATAAATAATATGTGGATGAAGAGAAGCTGCCTAGAGAACAAGCAGAAAAGAGAAAGCATCAGCCACAGCTGCATACAGAGGGGGGAGCAAAAGGCTCTGGGGGGGCCCTCTCTAAATTATCAGACTGTAAAGGTGACAGTTGGAAAATATCCTTTGAGACTTGCAAGATTCTTTTAATGTACTTTTACAATAAAGTAGAATTAGCTTATCTGGTGACACTTTCTGTCTGGTCCACCAGGTGAGACCGACATCAGTCTTGCAAGTCTCAATGTACAATTCTCCTGCCCTCACTTTTACAGCCTAATAACTTAGGAAGGGTCCCTCATTTTAGAGTAGCGCCTATGCTAGTTGGCAAATACAGGGTAAAATTATAGTGGGTGAAAACTGACTTTTTAGGGGATAAGTAAAGAATCTAAGATAGGAGTAAGGTGCTGTCACTTATTCTTACAGCCTGATTAAAATGGACTCCTTGTCCTCATCCAAGGATCCAAGGTCCTCATCCTTAAACTGCCACAAGACCCTGACATTTAATGGTGTTCTTTTCCCTCTCTAGGAGCCAAATCCTGAAGACCCCTTGAACAAAGAGGCTGCTGAAGTCCTCCAGAACAACAGGCGCCTGTTTGAGCAGAACGTCCAGCGCTCGATGCGGGGTGGCTACATTGGTTCCACCTACTTTGAGCGCTGCCTCAAATAGAACTGACCAGCTCCACGCACAAATTTACTCCTCTCCCCTCATCTCCCTTTTAGTACTTCTAAGGGACTCTGCCAACACCTCTGCCATCAGCCATCAAGGGTGCACAGGAGTCAGGAATTGGCAGGGGTCCCCTTTCATCTTTTTCTTCCCCCCCCCACTGCTCCCTGCCAGCCTGGGTCTTCAGCAGTGACTTTCTCACCAGATCCTTATACCTCCCTCACTGTGCGCTCTCTGTGCTGCTGTAAGGCGAGGGTGAGGTTACTATTGCTTCTTTGTCCCACCCACTGTGTTGGGTTAGCCACCTGGTCCTTCCTGACTGAGACCCCATTCCTGGTGTCCATCAGTCTTTCTCAGAGCTGTGGTTTTGCAGTTAAGAACAGAAGGTTCCCTATCTGCTCTGGCATTTCCTGCTTGCAGTGCAGTGTTATTCAGCTGCGGGATCTGCAGGCCACTTGCCTCTCCTCCCCTCCCCGACTGGGCACCAAGGTTTCTGACTGCAACTATTAAATGGGGGAGGTGCTTGAGGGCTGGAGCAAGATGCTCAGCTGCCTCCACTTGGCCCCAGGTATTGCGGCTCAAGGGGGAGAGGCTGGATCAGCCTTTTTTTCTCTTAGGATCAACTGACTTGTATGTTCGGTATTTAAGGAAAAACTAATAAAGCTACCACCACCACCAAGAGTCTATGACAACTTGCTGTTGCCACCTTGCCTGGGACAACTCGCTGCAGGGACAACTCGCCTTGAGCCTGGGCCTTCCACTCTGGTTTTCAAAGCTAACCTGGCTTAAGGGAGGCGAAATTTCTTGCCAGCCTGCACTACTTCTCCAAAAGCTTCCTTGCCTCGCTTTCCAGGTGCACACACATACCGTTAAAGGCGGGCTAAGCAGGAGTCATTGTTAACACACAGAGAGAGACACACCATTCTGAGCGTGGGGACTTTTATCTGTATTCAAGCTGATGAGCTGCCGATCATGCCCAGGCTTGGGGAGATGGAGCTCTCCTTCAGCATTCTGCACTGGACCCTGACAGTTCCCAGGCAGGGAGAGGGACAAGGCAACTGGCTTCCAACAGTCATCGCTGCAAAGGGTCTTCCCTCTGAAGCATCCAGCCCAGAACAACGACTCCACATAGCCCACCTGCAATCCTTCTCCAAAGGCTTCCTTGCCTCACTTTCTAACACACACACACACAAGGCAGGCTAAGCAAGCGTCATGGTTACACACAGAGAGAGAGACACAGACACCATTCTGAGCTTGGGGACTTTTATCTATCCTGTGGCAAGGTGCTGGCAGTGAGTTGTCCCATTCCACACCACCAATCCCACCAATGCTAATGGTAGGAGGGCCTGGCCAACAATGAACTCTATTCTGCCTCTCCAGTGACTCCTGGAAGTCTGTGGCCAACATAAAGCCACTGTAATTCCACTGTGTTGGGTTATTAAAGGGGAATATTAGCACATCCAATTTGCCCTTTGCCTCTCATTTTCTGCTTCCATCTTCCCTGGTTGGTGCATGGGTGGAGAGGGCAGGGGAAAGTGATGTGTATTGGTTGGGACTGCGGTCACAGGAAATAGCATTGTCACTAGAGATCATGGTTTCTAGATGGAACTAGAGATGAATGCTGAGGTGATGGAAACAACATTTTAAGAAAAACTCATGACTTCAAGACACTTAAGTTGGACACATTTATCCCATTAATAGAAGTACAGAAAACTGCATACATATCTCAACATCTCAATGTAGTCCTTAGAGTACAGCTGACTTTATTACTGTTCTGTGGTAAGATCTAACAAAGGTGTCAGCTGTTCAGCCAAATTCCAGAAAGAAAGGGAAACAAAGCTCTCACGGTAACTACAAAATGAGTCTTTATTCGTCCATATACTGCTCCGGATTCGGGTAACAACAAGCATCAAGATGATATTAAAGTCAGCTCTGGTGCACCTCGCAGCCAGAGCTGTATACACCAGTTAATAACGTAATGAGTTTATCCACCATCCGGTGAATGCTACCGCTTAATATCCAGTCACTATGTAACTCCCCAGATACCGTGCATTCGTTAATTATCCACACTCCTTTACCATACCCTCGCAATGTTATACTCTCCATATTCCACTCGCCCTTGTGCCCACCTAGTGAATATCCACCCCCCAAGGTCATTAACATTCAGCATGTTCATCGCTCTGCCGATAGCCGCCCACAACTTGTGATAGTTCAGCATTTGACGTCATCGGGGCTCGTCAATCTGCACTGGCAATCTGAACCCCGTGTTGATTGGCTAGCAGGTATTTCCTAACGCGGTAGAACATTCGGATGCAATGGAGTGCTCGGTGTCACGGCTCCAGCATGCCGTGGGGACATGACAGGCAGCCCCCTCTACCAGGAATCTGCCTGCAACACAGGAAGAACATTAGTGACATCTATGATAATTAACCTAATTACAATGTGGGCCCAGGTTTGTCGGGGTATGTATTATGGAAATGACGCACTAAACAATCTGCATATACATCCGATGCCTTCACCCAGGATGCCTCTGACACCGGATATCCTTTCCAGCATACTAAATATTGGATATTCCTTCTTTTGCAGGAGTCGAGAATTCTATCTATTTCAATCTGATCCTTATTTGGATGGTGATTTTTTTTCTACTTCAGGCACTTCATTTTGGGAGTCAATGGGTTTCAATAAACTGATACAAAACACTGGGTATATACGACCCAACAATGATGGTAACTTTAACTCGACCGTTACAGGGTTAATGATTTTTTATTGTTTTTTTAAGACAAACATAAACAAACACAACATAGAAACATCAAACCATCTTCCGTATATGTACATACAGTGTGTCGGTTGGTTTACAAATTGTTTTGTGGTTCCACTTCGTAGTCTTCAATTAAAATTACATTGTATATGTTCTCATATTGTCAATCAAATATCCCTAAATACATTAATCTCATTAATCATTTGACTATACTATTATTCATTCATGTTTTACGAAATAATCCATATTTTACTTAATTTATTTTATGACAGTTCATATTTCCATCTCAAATCTATCCTATAATCATTTTGTAGATATAATAAAAAAAAAAACATCTTTATATATTATGTTCTAAAAATCTACATATTTCATTACCATTTTTTATTGTCTAACCATTGATAGAATAGATTCCAAATTTTATAAAATTGTTTATCATCTTGTTCTCTGATTTCAAATGTCATACAGGGTTAATGATTCTTGTTATTGAGAATGGGCCCAACTATTTGGGCCCCAATTTCTTACTGTTCAATTTCAACTTAATATATTTTGTTGAAAGATATACTCTATCCCCAACCTGAAAAGGTTTATGATCCTGCCGCTTCTTGTCTGCATATGTTTTATAATCCATCGCTGTTTTATCCAGAGCTTTTCTAACATTTAACCAACTAGCCTGTACCCGTTGTGCCCAATCTGGACACTAATTGGGTCGGGGTGGCAAGTAAAATCCGGTAATGGACTAAATTCTAAGCCATTCACCATGTAGAATGGACTGTATCCTGTACTGCTGTGTACCACATTATTATACATGACTTCTGCAAATGGTAACAACTCCGCCCATTCCTGTTGTTGATAGGACACATATGATCTTAAGTATCTCTCCACCATAGCATTCGCTTTTTCTGCTGCGCCATTCGTGCTTGGATGTTAGGCCAAACTTAATCCCTGGGATGACCCTAACAAGCAGAGGAATGCTCTCCAGAATTGTGCAGTGAATTGTACTCCTCGATCAGAAATTACTCGTTGAGGGGTCCCATGTAATCTGTAAACATGTATAAACATATTGGCTAGGGTTTTAGCTAATGGCAAACCCTTACAAGGTACAAAATGTGCCTGTTTCTAGAATAAGTCGATGATAGTCCATATAACTGTATAACCATTACTGTTTGGTAACTCCACAATAAAATCCATGGCAATATCCTGCCATGCATGTTGTGGTTCGGACACTGTTTGTAACAACCCTAATGGCTTACCCAGTCTTGGTTTTGAAATTGCACAGACATGACAGTTTTTTACATACTGTTCTATGTCGGATCTCATTTTTAGCCACCAAAATTGATGTCAAGCTAAATGCAAGGTTTTTAGAAACCCGAAATGCCCGGCCTGTTTGTCATCGTGACACTTTTCCAAAATATAATTCCTACATTTCTCCGATACATAAATCCTGTTTCCTTTCCATGCCAAATTATAGGAAATTGAGTCAGCATTACTGCTAATCCATTTATCTGTTGTCTTCTCGCAACATATCCTGCTTACATCCTTTAACTGTATGGCTTGTCCCATATTTCTGGGCATGGTATCTGAGATCAGAAGCTAAACAATCACATCTTGGGTCTCGTATTGAGGTAAATGAGACAGGGTATCCTCCATGAAATTTTGACCCCCTGGTACATGGCGCAGATGAAAATTAAATCGCTTGAAACACATAGCCCATCTAACCTGTTTGGGAGATAAACGGCAGGGCTTTTGTAAAGCCTCCAAATTCTTGCAATCTATCCAGACTTCAAAAACTTTTGTGCCTTCTAACAGATGTCTCCATGTATGTAATGCCCACTTCACCGCAAATGCTTCTTTTTACCACATTGCCCATCCTCTCTCTGTTGGGGTGAATTTATGGGAAGTATAAGCAGAAGGTTGCAACATTTCCTGTTTTTTATAATGTAGAAGGACAGCGCCCACAGCCACATCGCTGGCATCTGCTTGAACAACATATTGTTTCATGGGATCAGGATGTTTGAGAATAGGTGCCTGGAAAAATAATGTCTTCAGATTGTCAAATGCTTGTTGACACTGTGGACCACTCAATTTTTTGACCTGGTGTTGGCTTTGTTTTCTGATTCTTTGTTTTTAGCAGTTCTGTTAATGGTAATGCAATGCTAGCGAATTGTGGCACAAATTGCCTATAAAAAATTGCAAAGCCAAGGAAACTCTGCAATTGTTTACGCGTTTGTGGGATTTCCCATCCCAAGACAATAGTCACTTTGTTGGGATCCATTTCCAAGCCATCATTGGAAATTCTATACCCAAGATAGCCCAATTTATTACAGTGAAATTCACATTTCGACAATGTCACATATAATTTGGCATCTAATAACTTTTTTAAGACACTTCGTACTAACTGTATATGTTCTTCCAAAGTCTGCGTGTAAATTAGGATGTCATCTAAATACACGAATACTCCCCAATATAAATGTTCATGCAGCACCTCATTGATTAGTTGCATGACTACCACAGGGGCATCCTGCAACCCAAAAGGCATCACCTTGACATGGAAACTACCCAGGGGACAGTTGAAGGTAGTTTTCCATTCATCTCCTTGTTTAATACGTACCCTGTAATATGCTTCACGCAGGTCTAACTTCATGAAGACTTTTCCAGTGGCCAATGTGGCCAATAATTCGCTAATTAATGGCAGAGGATATACATTTTCCACACATACAGCGTTTAGTCCTCTAAAATCCACACACAAGTGCAAAGTTCCATCCTTTTCCAGGGCAGCAATATGTGAGCTCCAATTTCTAGTTTAATAGTCATCGTCATTGCTGGGCACCCGCCAAGCAGGGACCCATCCATCTGCTCGAAATTCATTGGTGTAGGCAACTGTTCCACCCATAATTACAATTCACCACTCTGTGTAAGGCATCCAGAAAGTATCCATGATATCAATCTCTCAGAGACATTTTCTCTCCAATTGATTTATTTAGAAACAGATCTGGCATGTCAAAGGCAATTTTCCAAAGTGAAATTTTTTTTGCTCGTTACACAGAATCCACCTTCTCCCTTCTCTCCTCCCACTTTTACACTTCATAAATCACGAGAACCAATTAACTGCCACTGGAATTTCTCAATACAACATACAGAATAACCTTGAACTTTTCAATTCCTCCAACTCTCTTTAAAAAAATGAGGCAGCTGAATCTCAAAGCTGACAGGCATCCCCCCTTGAAAACTCCTAAAGAAAAAAAAAAAAAACCACATACAGGGGTTAATACATTGTCCTTAACCCCCTCTCCCTCCCCCACGAGGACCCTTCGGTTTGTGGGGAAAATCCTCATGGAATTGGTTAACCAATTGATCAGCATGAACATCCCAACTCTTTACCCAACTAGCATCTGAGAGGGGGTATCCTTTCCATAAGACCAAATATTGCAATTGGCCATGGTGTAATCTAGAATCAAGAATTTTTTGAATCTCATAATGTGTTTCCCCCTGTACTGTTAATGGTTTAGGTGGAGCGATTGGCAGTGGTCTTATCATTGATACAGTAGCTGGTTTTAGTAAACTACAATGGAACACCGGATGAATTTTCCCCAACAGTCGAGGAAGACTTAATTGGACAGTGACCGGATTGATTATGTTGGAAATTGGAAATGGACCCAAGAATTTTGGACCCAGCTTCTTACTGGGCAGTTTCAACCGAATATACTT